GACACATATCAAGTTCTTTAAGACAAACTTCTTGTTGTTTACTTGCAGGACCTTAATTCAATCTGCATGGCCATCTCCTCAATACCTAAAAGTCCCAGGAGAACTCTAGAATGTAACTATATTTATTGCATCTGTAGGTTTCAACTGGATCGAGTTGGTATGTGTTCAATGCAATCTTCATTCCTCCTATTGTAGACAGGTACATCACTAAAGTAGATGATCAGACTCTTAAATGACCAGCTTCAGACATAGCTCATCAAATGTATGAAATTTCTAGACAATTTGTAAAAATAAAAAGGCATGACCATCCATTCATATAGGTCTACGTAAGTCTTGATTGCAACTTTCGAATTTTTTCATACTGATGTAGCCGAACTTAAATTTGATGATATTGACTTTAAAATTAATCTTCGAGAGTATGTTAGAACTTAAATTTTTTCATACTGATGTAGCCGAACTTAAATTTGATGATATTGACTTTAAAATTAATCTTCGAGAGTATGTTAGAACTTAAATTTTTTCATACTGATGTAGCCGAACTTAAATTTGATGATATTGACTTTAAAATTAATCTTCGAGAGTATGTTAGAACTTAAATTTTTTCATACTGATGTAGCCGAACTTAAATTTGATGATATTGACTTTAAAATTAATCTTCGAGAGTATGTTAGAACTTAAATTTTTTCATACTGATGTAGCCGAACTTAAATTTGATGATATTGACTTTAAAATTAGTTTCAAAGTTTAATTATACTATTATTATTTAAGTAGAACTATATTTACAATTATTATCCTCTCACTTGCACCATCACATACCTATGTTTATAAGCCAAGAAACTACAACAATTTATGTAGCACTTTCATCTCCTTCTACATGTATATGCATTTGTTATTTTCTTTTTATTACGTTAGATTAGATTATTTTAAAATAATTAATTATATTTTATATTTGATCTTTTTCATATCAAGAAATATTAACAATTTTCACAGCACTTTCATCTATTTTCTTCTTATTAGATTATATTAGATTATTTTAAAGTAATTAATTATATTGTATGTTTGATCTTTTTTCAGATAAAAAATTGCAACAATTTTCATAGCATTTTCATCTCCTTCAACAGGTATGTGTCTTTGCTATTTTCTTCTTATTAGATTAGATTAGATTGTTTAAAATTATGAATTATGAAATTACAATAATTTTCACATTATTTTCTTCTTATTAGACTAGATTAGATTATTTTAAAGCAATTAGTTATATTGTATGTTTGATCTTTTTTTTAGATCACAAAGTTTAATTATACTATTATTATTTAAATAGATACTGTTTGTATAAAAATCAAAGAGAACCTCACACATATCTTAGATCTCAATGCCAATTGTAATATTTACACATGAGTGTTGGTTAAAATAAATTTTTATGTATGGGCTTAGATAATTTATTTTTTTAACACTCAAACTCTTCCACAAAACCAAAAGAGAGTAGCAATGTTATAGCTATATATATCCACAGGACCACAAATATCTTGAAAATAAACGAAGAAAACCACACAAATAAAAACCATATTAATTACCTACACGCACCCACTATTTTCAAAATCACCATTCTCCATATCCATCTATTATATATCCACATACCAAATTATACTGTTGGAGTTTTTCCTAACCAACTACACCATTTATTAACTCTCCTTTTTCCTTTGTACTTAAATTGTATAACATTCATTACGATGAGGACTCACATTGGTCCTCTGCCTGCCTTGAACGTTCAACAAAAATAATAATGCACTAAGCATTGTAGTTAATTAATAATGGGATCCTATCATTATAAACAAACTAAGTAAAGATTAATAATTCTTAATAATGTAGTGCGTTCCCCTATTTTTCACAGCAAACTTGTTAGTCGTTTATTCCTGACCCCAACAGTTCTTTTTTGAACTAGACACCAAAACAACCCTGTAAAATCATAGTTAGAAACCCGACCTATGGCTAACGAGTTTTTGGAGGTGGATGTGAAGTGTAGGATAATGTTGAAGAAGAGTATGACAAATATTAAAGTAAAACATGTATTGTGTAATTGACTACATGCCATAATAAATGTACGCATATATACAAGGAGAGTTTCGATACGGGTACGTGTATGTGGCAGGTACACATACAGCTTCAGATAGAAGTACCCATGTAACATAGGCTTTACATTACCAAAGAAAATGAGAATGTGCACTATACAACAGTTTGAACTGATCCTTGGTCAAGCCGCTAAGATAGGAATGAAGTATTCAATTCCAAGATGACAAAGAATCAATTAGTTCTCAATTACCTGGCATAAAGAATTATGAAACTACGGATGAGGGGTAAGAGGAGATAATTATGTAAGAGGAAGCTAAGATAACGTTTACATGTAAAGGGTTGCCTTTTGCAACTTCCATATGGCGTACCTGACATGAGAACAATAGGAGACTCTTTCAGCGCAAGGAGTACAGGAAGTTTCTAGAAGACTCCTTAAAACCTGATTTATCTTCAGATATCACTATTAAATAGCGAAATCTGACACCAGTGTGTATTACCAGCATAGCAAGAAAATAATAAACTATGAAGAGATTGTCGACATGTACTTTGTCACATTCTGTTAAACTATAGCTTTGCATAACGGTGCAATTATGAACCTCCATCATCGTCATTCTAAACCTTTTTCCATTCTAAAAATGGGGTCATATGAAGAGAAACCTTATATCATAAATGAAATGTTCAAATTGAATGCCTGAGGTAAGGCTCCAGATTAAGGTATCAGAATTGAATTAGTATTTGACATTATGATTGCTTAAAGTTATTTGTGGATGCTGGAGCATTAGTATTCTGGAAATATAATCAGTTGGGTTCAACTAAATCTCATTATAACTGATTGTTATTCTCTCTATTATATCTTGATTCATAAGCATGTTTCCCATTGTTACTGAGTGCTCCATACTTCTTATCTAGCAGTCCAACCTTCAAAAGATAATTCTCTTAACCTTCCCAGAAGAAGCTACCAAAAATTTATGTAAACACGGAATTTACATGATACAAACACAATATTTGAACGTATGAAAATTTTATTGTGATTCTATGAAACAAAGGTAAGTGAGAGAGACCATCCTCTCATTATAAAAAGAAGTACCCGCAGATCATAGAAGATTAGTCCATATAAATAATAAACTGAAATCAACAAAAATCATAATAATTAAACATGAAAAACTGTTATTATCGTGAAACGAAAAATACAGTATCAGTTGAAGTACATAAAAGATTTACCGAAGCAAAACTCAACTGCCTGCCAAACTCCCTGCCCAGAGCTGTTCTCTATATCTAGCTGATATAAATAACAGTTGAAAGATATAAAAGATATGTCATCTATAATAAAGATCTATATATGCAAGTACATGAAGATAAAGGAATGGGCTTATTCCATGGAAGATGAAGAGGTAAGGTTATTGCCTATATAGAGCAATAAACATAGATTAAAAGCTGAATTTCCAAATAGGATTTAAAATACTTAACAATTGATGTTCCTTATCCATGGAAAACAGCAAGATTATCCCCAAATGGCCAAAGAAAAAAATCAATAGATACGAGACTGAAAATGATTGGAGCAGAACTCTTTGTGTCATTCTTTAAAGCTTTAGTTGTAAACATAAATTGTCACAGAATTTCATAGAAAACTCGACAGAAAACTAGCCACATAAGCACATAGGGAAAAGGTAGGTCATTTATAGTCATAAGTGTCGAGTTAGCCTGTATGGTTAGTCATACATAATTATGAAGCGCAGTTTAACTTTAAAACAAAGACTAGTTGTACTTCAAAAGTTAACAAGCGCCATTTAATATAAGTTTTGAACAAGTAAAATACTATAAGCATGCTCCACATGTTACACCCCAATCAGCCATGTAAATGTCGATGATGCACCCAAATCACTTAAAACATGGCAGCCAACAATGTTAGCAAAATATATTTTGTGTTCGCGATATTTCAATAAATCAGAAATCATACCGTCATTATAGCGCTCGCATTTGAATGATTGAATCTCGGGTCTCTTGCACAAAATTGTTAAAGAGTTTAAAGTTATAACCCTCAACCCTCACCACGATTTTGGAATCTTGGTGTAGCGGTAGGGTCCTTTAAAATTGTATCAGAGCAACCCAGGTTAAATTCCCACCGGCCACAACTTTAAAGCGGATCTCAGATGTCGCGTGGCAGGGTCCTTCGACAAATACAGCAAGCAGGCTTTGCCTTCGAGACACATCGATATCATTCACATAGTTAGCATATAACGCTCGTTATCACTTTCAGCGTGTCTCGACATATCAAGTTCTTCCATGTGGCATCACAGATTTAGACATAAGCCGAAGGAGGAAAGTGAGCCTCGATTTGTTGGAGATCACAGGATCTTGGAAAGTGTTAGAAAGCCAAAGTGGGAGCAGAGACGACTGACAAAGGAGCCAAAAATAAATTAAAAAATTAAAAAAAAAGTTGTAAAAGCAGTAGCCACCATGATTATGGTTCAGTCCTAAACCTAAAGGCAGGGGCATATTCCCATACCAACTGTAGCATGTCCTCCCTCTAGAAAGCAACATGAACACTTTTTGCACCATGGTTGACCTATGAAAGTGAAGCATATGAACCTTTTAGTGCTTTTGCCATCATCAATCACCAACAACTTCGTTATTTGCCCTCACGAAATACTACTGAAAATTCACGAAAAGCACAGTATGCTCTCACTCAATGCCACAGTTGCAGTTTAATAGAGCAGTTCCATGTATAAGCTCCACCATCCAAATCCAAACAAAACAAAACAAGACTACAGATCTAGAGAAAAGAGAGGAATGGATACATCCTGAGGATGATCTCACCACATTATTCAGTATGTAAACTCTATAACACATTGACATTTCACACAACCTCGTAACTGTCATGATGCACTGAAGAATAAATTTATGCAACGAGGAACTGATAATAGATAAGAATATGATTTTAAACACCCGCAGTGATTTGTGTAGCATTCAAATAAGAGGATCTTCACACAAACAGTTCCCTGATAAGGATGGATGATAGTTTATCTTTACAGGTCTAAAGCAATATTTAGCCACTGGCTATCAAGTTGATACTTTCAATACCTGTTTTGTCCTATCTTAAACCCAAAAGGCCAGTTCAGAAAAACAATACAGTTGCATCTTCATTGCTATGGAAAAGCTTGACAATAAGCATCAATACAAATCGAGCAAAATTATTGGTCGCCGGGCAAACTTGCCTTCGAATGTCACACGGAATACAAAAATAACTCAGTTTGGCTTCTTCAAATGGTGGTTCAAGACCTTATATTTGTGATTTCCACTTCGCCATGTACTTTCGAATCCTTCTAGTACATTTCTGACTAACCTTCAGTATTCAAGGATCACAGCGCTTAAAGCCTTGCTGATACGTCCAAATTGAAACATCTCTTTACACTGAGCACAGATGATAAATCCTAAGCAGCAAGTGCTACATCCTCAGATTTCTCGACTCCTTGAATGTCAGTGATCCTCAGTTTGGTTAATTCCTGAAGAAAAAGGAGTGTGTGAACCAGTTGCCAGAAGAGAGGGCAACAAGCTAATTGTCTGAATAGCAAACATAACAGTAATCTTACCTGTCGATGACCCTTAGTTCTGCGATAATTCTTTCGTCTCTTTTTCTTGAATATGATTACCTTTGCATCTAAAGCCTGAAAACAAAGAGGTGAAATAGCTGTAACAAGGGTAAGATTATAAGAAATATCAAAATAAACCAGTCCTATCGAGGATCACTTACATGATAATAAAATATAAAACATGCTTAAAAGACGTGCAATAACAAGTCAAAGATATAACAGAACAATAATAGAGCTTGTCTCATCATCAATATTAGCTACACTCTTCTGTTCCAAGACAACAGTGTATCAAATAAGGAAAGACTGGATGACATTCACATTGCAGTTAAGCCAGACGAATAAGAAATCACGCATCAAGGAAAACAGTACTTAGATGTAGTATATGCACTTTTTGTTGATTCTTACTGTTTAGTTTTCCACATCACACAATATATGCAGCTAAATATTATTCCTCAGCTGCTCAGAGAGCGCAAAGAAGAAAACAATTTGTGATGTTATAGTTACTCCTCTTTGAGCCCCTAAAAAAATTCTTCCAGATAAAAGTAAAGGAACACTTCAAACAGCAGTACATAAGAAAGAAAACGTTAAATGATAAATATTCTTACATGCTCTTCAACGACAGCATGCACAATTGCCTCAGGTAATATCGGTCTACCAATGATTGTTTGCGACTTTGATCCCAGCATAAGAACCTTGTTCAAAATCAACTGCAGGATAGCTAGCTATGTAAATAATCCACAATATAGAAACTTCTCCAAAGTTAGTGTAGAAATAACCACAGGAATTTTCCAGCGCATGATCATAATAATGCATCAATAAATTATAGATAAAGTGTTCAACAAGAAGCAAACAATTCAGGGAACACAAGTGTTCAACAAGAAGCAAACAAATCAGGGAACGCACCTAGACACAAAAAACAAAAATACGAAATATTGAGACCAGGAAGAACGTTAAAAAGGTGAATAATAA